AAAAATTATTTTAAAAAATGAATTGCTATACTAAGACATTATACATGGACTCCCCCTCCTCACATATACTTCCTTCGTCTAATTTAAACTTCAGTTTGTGATGCTTAACCAATGATAATTAAATTCAATTCTGAATTTTTTTGGATTAGTGTTCATAATAAAAAGTTACGAACAACCGAATTCAATAGTTCTATTGAATCTGAAAAACAGAATTCAATTATGAAAAAAAGAATTGAGATATACTACGTATAAGATTAGATATTAAGATGATATTCACTTAATTGTATGAATAGTAACTATAAAGACTCAAATGAGATAAAAAAAAGTACGAGCACTATGTAGATAACATATGGTATGGGCATTTGTATGTCAATTTTATACAGGAGTAACTTATTTTCAGGATATGTACATCTAAAATGACTGCAACTTTATGATGAAAAGTTGCACGGAATTAGAGCAGAAATGTCATATTCTATCTTGGATGGGTCTTAGGATATATTGACTGGCATGGGTTGGCATTTTAGCGACTGTTATGGTGTCATATAAACTACCCGACATATGGCTATATAGAATTGAATTAGATAATTGAATTGGCTGAGAATTGTCTAATTGTGCAAGGGTTTAACACACATGGCGTTGGATCTATTTGGCACATGAGTCCATATATACATACATAAATGATACGGAGTACTTTCGTATATGTTAATGTTTGTATTCCCTCGCTCCCTCCTAATGTATGTAAGGTTCAAGTTTTTGCGGGAGAGAGATTTAATAGGAACTACAAATTCTTTATTAAAAATGGAAAGTGACCAAATTATGTAGGATATATTGGACTATCCATTTTGGACTATGTAGGAAAGTTTCACAAAATAACATGATTGACTAGGGATTCATCAAAATTCATAGACGAGCTGACATGGATATGTCAAATCCGTGTCAATGGTATGTTGCCACGTGCTATACATTTGACACAAAATCATTGATCAATCCGTGCCAAATCCGTGAAAATTTTGTTGTTTTTTGAAGTATGTTTGGCTTGACACAATATTAATAATTCAATTGAAAAATAAAAATTATGATCGAGATTTGAGTAAAGAAACTCGAAACAATAAGAATTACATATTTATGGTCAAAAAAAGGAAAAAATTGGAATGCCACAAAATGAAAAACAAGTTACATAATTCCATAATTCCATGCATAGAGGCTAGGGAGTAGTAAAGATTGGACTATCCATTTTGGAGTATATGTAGGAAAGTTTCACAAAACAACTACGGAGTGTGCTTTTGAAAGCAGGTACACCTCCATCACTTCGTACTTGTCATCTTATTTGGTCCATTATTATTCGGATTGGGCATGATAGATACCCTTTATATACGCGCATTCATATCAACCATATACTTCCTATATGGTATTTTAAAGAAATCACACTAAATATCCAAATGTATAAATATATGTAAAAAGGTTGTGTATACACATTACATTAAGCAAAGCAAAGCAATCATACCCTATATGTCCACAAAAGTACACTTTCCCAAGTCGAGGAGAGGAATTGAGCGTTTTTCGTTTAACTTCTTTTACTTTGAATCTCATTCACAGCAAAGTCAAATGTTGTTTAAGAAAAGATAAAAAAAAACATTAGGTGCAAATACTAATTTGAGGACTGAGGTAATGAGGTTGCACACTTGCACCCATTTTCAAAATACTTTATAGCATAAAGTTCAAAAGAACTACGTACGGACTATTAAAAATGAGGTCGATCTATTTATAGGAAGCAGATTTTATCTTTTATATGTACAAATATTAATGATTATAAACACAGAGTGCGAACTCATGCATTTGGTAGCAAATATAATGGGGGCGAAAACAATCGGTTCCAACAATTCGTTTTGGCAAAATCGAGTCATATTTTACAACCAAGGTTCTCTTCTTGATTTACAAAACCAAAATATATTAACAATAAAATAAATGTGGACAATGAAAATACTTTTTTTATTTTTCAAAATAAAATTAATTTATTGTTTTCATTTTCTACAATTAATATATTAATATTATTATATTTTATATAACATAATAATATGTGTGTCCATGTAAAACAATTCATGTCAAAAGGAAGTTCATGATCCATTCTTTTTTGTTAATTAATATAAACTATTAGTTTCAATAATTAAATAATCAAATCTTTAATTTTTTCGGAGTATAAATCTGATTTTCATGTGCACTGATATTAACTATTAGAGGAGATAAAGTAATGTTGTGGGGTTTACTTTCAGCCTTTCAGGTAAATATAAGATCTAATGGTTGAAATTAATAGATAAAATGCTTCTCACGAAAACAATATTATTAAAGTAAATTTTTGCCAAATATTAAGTTGGCTTAACATAATTCCATTATGTATATCGGCCGGCCTAATAAGAATCGTTCTACACACATATACTTCGTATATAAGGTTTGATCAGTACAATTGTAAGAATGGTCGCTATCGATCGTGAGAAATGAGAATGAACCGACACCATAGTTAATGACGATATGATACATATTTCTGATAAAGTTAATGCATAGTTTAGACTTTAGAATGGTACGCTGCATTATTTTACTTATTTTCAAAAAGGCCACCACAGTTTCAATAACACGCAATTTTTTAATCTAATTATAAAGTACCTAATTCATTCTCATATCGATCTTTCAATATATTACATTCTCATTTGATCTAATATATTACATTCTCATTTGATCTAATATATGTATGTATATATAATGTTTTTCTAAAGGAAATACAGTTTGTTTTCACTTTTCACAATTTACATATCAATTATGTTTAGTGATTCTTTATTAGCATGAGAAGGCTAAGATGAGTCAATCTCCCCAAAAGGGTATATTAATAATGATATGCTAGCACGTTATAAAACGTAAAGCCAATTCGCCCACGGTAAAATTCATGTGCTTTTGCACCTTTTCTCGAATATAATGAACATCAATACCAAATTATAATAGTGTATGTGTTTCAAATTAGATGTGTACTTGCTCTTGAAATTGTTTCAAATTCTTTGAAGTTATTTGTCACACTTCAATAATACCTAGGTTGTTTCAGTAATTTGTTGGTCTGGTTCTGGTCTGGTCCGATCTGGTCTGGTCTGGTCTAGTCTAGTGTGATTTTTTTGTATTTTTATAACTATCCAAGTCTGGTCTGGTCTGTTCTGATCTGGTCTAATATGGTCTGGTTTGAGACAAATTACCGTCCAAGTCCAAGTAAAAACATCCCTAGTACCAAAAGCAGGTAATACTTCAAATAGCGAAGGACTATCAGAGAGTATCGAAGATTCTTCATTACAGCATGACTCTGTACTTGTTTGTTCTCCCAATAAAGTCACGTTCTTATATACGAAGTATATGCACTAATCGGCTAATCCTCTAATTAATCAAGGCTATTGCATGAATTGAATTTGTAATTACGTTACAATCACGAAGGTTTATATTATTGATAAGAGAAAATTCTTGGACTAAAACAGTATTATTGTTTTTTTGGTTATTATTGATAAGAGAAAATTCTTCCACTAAAACAAAGGAGTAGCAATTTTTCTCAAATAAAAATGTTATTGTTTTTTTTCAAAATAAGAGAATTTTATTCTTTCACTTTTTAATAGAATTAATAAGTTCTATTGTCATCTTTTTATCTTCTTTATCTTACTTAATTATTTTTATCATTTCTTAAATAGGATCGGAGTACTAAACATTATCATTTTACCCCTAATATAATACGGAGTATTAAGTAATACTACGTATATAGTATAATTAATTGCTCCCCCTAGATCCCTTGCATAATCAAGGTAGGACCATTGGGAGCAACAGATTGGCGGCGGCGCCAAAATGTTGGCGACAAAATTATGGAGATAGTCAGTGGTGGCAGAGCTCCGGCGACGGATGGTGGCGATCGGAGGCGGGGGAAGTTTAGTGACCGGAAATGGAGCTCCGACGGATGACGACAGGGGGCAGGTGGTGGCAGCGGGCTAGGTTGGGCAGTTCAATAACCGCAAGGGTATTTTAGTCCAAACACACGTAATTACTCATATTGAAGGAATTCAAACAACACAGAGCAGATCCTATATTTGCATTTAGCCCATGTTTTACTCATATTTCAGGAATTCAATATTTTATCTTTATCTTATACTCCGTATATATCTTTAATTATAATCTTTTTATATGGTCCATTTTATCTCATTTATTTTACCTTATCTTTTTATCATTCTTATCTTTTTTTTACTCCAATGTCATGTACTAAATCATGTTAACAGACGTCAAAATCTTTTGAGACTAAGATTTAGATGTAGTTGTTGTAAGTAAGTTCTATTTTGAAAAAAACATACTTAATTATTTTCTAGAATCTTCTCTATGTTTTACTCCTACTTTGAGTAATTTCTTTTATTGGTAGGAGTCCGAAACATTTTTCTTTTGTGATGCCATTAACTTGTAGTCCCTCCATTCCCCTTTGTCCCAGCCATTATATATCTTTTGATCTGTTTCACTAAATTTGTTGCATATCATAGTTATCATTTTTGTGATCACAATTTATTCTTAGTTTAATCACACTTCATCGATCAATTCAATATCAATCGTGTCTCCATCTTCGGGAGTTAGTATTATTTACGAGTGTGTATGTATGTATGTATGTATGTATGTATGTATGTATGTATGTATGTATGTATGTATGTATGTATGTATGTATGTATGTATGTATGTATGTATGTATGTATGTATGTATGTATGTATGTATGTATGTATAAACACACACATATACACATACGCTTATCTTTGTAGCTGGAAATTAAAGGATGGGATTTGAATGGTGAAGATGAGAGGGGTCATACGGGAATGAAGCAAATTAGGAAGGAAAGTGGACTACAGACACTTTCTTTTAGTTTTGAGCTTTTTCGAAGACCCCTCTCCTTCACGGCTGCTTCTATATATATCTTGTAGACATACACACATATAGTCTTATTATAGAGAGAAGAAGGGTAGTAAAGATCTAGCTAGCATCTATCTCAGATTCTCAAAAAGGAGGGGAAATATCATCAGAAGGGTAGCTAGATATATAGAAGCAATAAGCTAATTAAGGACTTTAAAGCAACAGAATGCTTCCCAACGATGAGCAAGAAAGAGATATGCTGCTTGATAAAATGCAACTCCTTCGATCCGTCACCAACTCTGACGCTGTAATATACTTCGTATATAATAGAGTATACCATTACAAGAAAACAACAATATTGGCACGGACTTGACACAAATTGATTGAGTTTGGCACGGATCATAACAAATAGCTGGTCACAAAACGACATTGGCACGGACTTGACGTATCCGTGCCAAACCTATGCCAAATACCCTGTAAATTTTGGCTAATCCATGTCAAAGATCTGTGCCACGATCGTGCCAATGCAAATCGTTGTTGTTTTTTGTAGTGATAATAATAATATGCATATGATTTTATGTGTTTTCTTTATGTAAAAGTTGTGAAAACATATATTAATCCATATGTATATGGATGGACAGATGAGTGAAACATCAATCATAATGGATGCGACCAGGTATATCCAAGAGTTGAAGGACAAGGTTGGAAGAGCGAACCAAGAATCGGAATTCGCAGCTGCCTCTTTAATTTCAACAAACAATACCAACTCTTCATCGCCATCTTGCCCGGTAATTAAGTATTATTTTCATTTAATCATTGCGCTAGCTCCACAATTTGTTTCATGCATGTATATATTCTCCCTAATATTGTATTTCAATTCAAATTTACATGTATATTATGTATATACTCTTAGAGTTTGTTTTATAACATTAAAATAAGCCGAATCAACTGATTCTGTAGGAACTGATAAAGTTCTGGATGAAGCGGTTGCACTGGCTGAATCTGCTAAATTATAAAAAAGTTATATTTCAAATGCTCTATATATTCTATTAATAAAATAAAGAAAATATTACATGAAAAATTAAATAGCTAAAATAATATTCTACAATAACTATTGTCAATTCAGTCAAAAAAGTAATGCAACCTTGCTTATTTTGATTATTACACAATCCAATGTGTCAAATCAATATTTGTGCGTTCTTGAGAAAATTGACTAATAAGTAAAATATAAGCATTTTCATATATTTTTCTCTTCAAGGGAAGTAAAATATTATCAATCATAGTCTTGTATTGATATTGACATCAACATTAAGATAAAATAATACGATATTACGATCTATGTTTTCCATATGTGACCCAAGTCAACACAAATTAAAAGAGTTGTGACCTTCACAGACTCATTGCAAGTTTCAATCTTTAGTCATTGTATAAACTTTCTAACTTTCTCATCAGTTTACTAATTGAGCTATTCGAGCAGGTTCAATTATTAAGTACCCCCTCTATCCCATTTTACATTTTTCACTTTCTTTTTTAAGTTGTACCAAAATAAGTGTCACATGTTTGTTTTTGGAAAGAAATATATTGGGCACAACATTTCGTTTTATTACACTCATATATATTCGAAGTTTCCAACCACAACTTTTACTTTTTCAACCACTATATTAATAATTATCCCTATTCAAAACAAAGATACATAAAATGAGGACGGCGGTAGTACTTCATAAAATCCAAAGGTGATGTCTTAGCGGTCTGAAAAAATACCAATCATACATGTCAAAATTTTGTTTTCGGTTGGATTTGATACGAAAATTAAGGATGTTATAAGTTGGATTGATTTACATCCCAAACCAGATTTTATGGAGTGAGATTGAGCCCAATTTACCCCAGGTCCCCAAACCCCCCAAACCCTGATGCCCCCTGGGGTAAAAAAAAAGTTCAACTATTATTTTCCATTTTCCCAAATTAAAAAGATCAGATTAATTTAGATAATACTCCCTACATCTCTAAATAAATTACTCACTTTGCTTTTATGGATCGGATGTCCCTAAAAAATTCTTCTATTCCCTATTTGATAAACAAATTTATATCAATTCACTCTACATCCCTTAAATAATAACGACACAATGCAAAATAGTGTTAAACGATGTCAGAACATTGTACCTCAATAAAAGGGGTGTTTAGTATATATGACACATAAAATGGACCTTTATCAAACTAAGTTATATTGGACTGAATGTAACTTGAAAACATTATTATACTCCGTAGTAAATTGTAAATGTGTGATTCGTGATTGATGACAAGGAAGAACGTTAACCATGCGAACCGTCTTAAAAGGAAAGAAGAGGATCATCCGAACATTTAAAAAAGAGTAGGTTGATAAAATCGTCTGTAAACACCGAAATTAGGACTAGGGACGGTCCTACAACCAAAACCGCAAAAAGGACCCGATTCGGTCTCAAACATATATTCTTAAAACCATCTCTTACCTCATTACCTCAACAACAACAACAACATCCAAACCTTAATCCCAAAAGATTACGGGGTCGTTTAACATGAATCGATCCATGATATCGATGCCAAAAAGAGAAGACAGTCAAGAAGAAAAAATAAAGGATAAAACGAATAAGATAAAGATAAATAAATCACTACAACATTTCAACATCTAATGTATCATCCAAAAATGTTACAATATCACTAAAACGTGTTACATTAGAGCAAATGTAACACTTTTTTACCATTACATTTGCTCATGTTGCATTTACCAAGTAAGGACCTAAATACTTCAACTTTAATACTTTTGCATTTTACGCATATGTAAGGAGTGTTTTGCGACCACTTTACTCTAATGTAACACTTTTTAGACCTAATGTAACACTTTATAGACCTAATGTAACACTTTCTAGAGGTATAAATGTTACATTAGAGACTATAAAGTGTTACAATGGATCTAATGCAACATGAGCAAATGTAATGGTAAAAAAATGTTACATTTTCTCTAATTTAACACTTTTCAGTGATGTTGTAACACTTTTATGTGATACATTAGGAGTTGAAATGTTGTAGTGTTAAAAAAGCACTTTTCAGCTTTTTACTTAAAAAAAGCTAAAGTTGGTGTTTTCAAATATCTACTTCTACTTAAATTAAGCATTTTAAAGCTAAAAGCTGGAAGCTAAGGTAGAGTTATTTTTAATTACTTCTCAGTTTATTTTTGTAAATAATGTGAACTTTAGGAATAATTGTATTGATACATTTGTACAGTATAACTTAAACAAAAAATGCCCCATCTTCCCCAATGTCCCTGCGTTCGATTGACCTCTCTGTTTCCACTCTACCTTGTTTTCCACACACATGCATATATATTCAAACAATATCGAAATACGAGCCTTCAGCCTTGTACTTCGATGCTCAACTTAATCTTCTTTAAATCTCGAGTTGTACATGAAGTTGTTTGCCGTTGGCGTAAATGACACTGTCCGCCGCCGACGTGAATGGCACCGTCTGCCGCCGGCGTGAACGACACACTCATCGCCTCCACGGGACGATGGACATATGACTTTCAAATACTTTGGGGCAGACCAACTTTCTTGGCCGTGGAGAGACGCCGCCCAGAGTTTCAATTGACAAACATTTGCCTGAGAGATGAAAAACCCCGTACCCAACTTCAAAGCTCCAGATCAGGCTTGCTTGGCCATGGAGAGTTGTTCCGTGTTTATGCAAGGGCATTTTTGTAGTTTAATCTAATATTACATTAAAAATCATTTTCTTTATTAAACACTTCACTTTTAACTTTTTCACATTAATCACTTCTATTCTCAAACATTATCAATTTTACCTTTAAGCACTTTCTCAAAAATCACTTTAAGGAAATCACTTTTTTAAAGTTAAAGCAATCGCAAACACTCCCGTAGTCATATGTGTTAATATTTTAATCTTCTTTTGTTAAATGTATGAGTGTACATGCTATAAGAAATCACAATTAGATTATACCATTTTGATTGTTGGTTACGGGGCTGACAAGAGTGAAAGAGAATATTTCACAATAAGGAATTCACTACAAGAAAAGTGTTCATCTACGACAGGAGATACCGTAGTTAAAAGACAAAAACCTATCATAAAAGAGTTTTAATGAAGAGGGATCTCCTCTCACCCCCAGTCACTACAGCTTCCACGGTTAAAAGTATATAATGACGGGTATACAATCTTATCATTAATTAGTATGCAATGAGAGTCGATTCACCCTCACTAAAAGGTTCTTTTTATGACAAAAGATCTCGTCATTAATACAACTAGCCACAATAAGAAAACTTTGTAATTATAATGTTTTAATGATAGGAAGTATTGTCATACATACACACACATTTATACATATATGCATATATATAGTGTGCGCGTAGAACTGTCATGATATGCTTGAACCGAAAAATATAATAATTTGCAATTATATATATTTCCAAGAGTAATGTTAGAGACTAAACCAACAAATGAATACAACATTCAATGTGTACATTTGTCATACGCCCCTAATTTAAGTATTTTCCAACGAAAAGACACAACTAACAAAGTGAAAGTATCTCAAAATGAAGAGTAACAAAAAAACTAATACACAAGTGACTATCAAATAGTCTTTCATCCTTCACCTCTTATTCCACCAGCTTTCATAAGAGTAGTTCCAGCTTCTTACAAAATTGGCTTCTTTTAATTCACTCGCCAACTTCAATTATATGCTATTAAGCCCTTGCATTATACACCAGCATAAATAATCAAGAAGTTATTCAATCAACTTAATACATTCCTAAATCAATTTGTTTTTGGAAATATACCATTCTTATTCAATATTAGGTTCAATTAGGAGTATCCATGTTGGTTTCTACTCTTTAGCGAATACTACGAATACGTCTATTCGTTTAGCAGGAGATTTTTTTTTGTTGCCGCTCTTCAAAGTATCCGTCGATTGTCAAATTACCTATAGTGAGGGTCTTAAAGTTTTCAACTATCAATAATGAGGGTATCATGTATAAAAAACAAAAAGTCCTCACTAATTTAATTAGAGGATTTCCCCCCTCTCTAAAACTCTAAAACTAGTATTATTAATGACGGGATCAGGGCCCGTCCTGATAAATTAGAGGCCCTGTGCAACAATAAAAATTAGTCCTTTCATTTAAACGTAAAAAATTTACAAAGTAGTTTGTAATATATGGTACACTATGTTAGTAAGAAATTCTTAATACTTTATATCAAATTTCAAGTTATTTTTAATTAACAATACTATCAAAATAAAAATATCCATTTACAAAGTACCCTTTATATTAAAAGAGATCTTTGAACATATTTTCAATGTGAGTTATAAGTACAAACTTTCTAAAAGGCGCAAGGCGTATCAAAGCGACATGACTATATTTAAAGCCTTTGAAGCCTAAGCAAGTTTAATTAGGTAGGGTCAGACGTGAAAAGTTGTTTTAATTTATATACTTTATTTTAATTTTTACATAGACATTTTTAAATATTGTTACTATTATTATGTCATGATTACTTAATTCTAAAAGATGAATATTAGTTAATGTGATTAAATTTACTATTATAATAATCACTACGTTTAAAAACTCAAATTTTTATAAATATTGTTTATTATAATCATAACTTTGTAATTATTTCCAATAAAAATAATAATACTTGCGTATTTGTCATTTTTGGAATAATTTTATTTTTGGAATAATTTTATTTGAAGCAAACACTACAAAAAAACACGGAGTTAGTCACGGATTTAGTCACGGACCGTAGTATAAAAAAT